AAAAAGTACTGAAAACGCTTTTTGATGGTTAGTGCTTTATGCTATTACACCATTACACTACAGATGCTCTGAAAATGATTTTTTATTAATCAACTGATATATTTCAAAATGCTTAACTTTGTACAGACATGACAAGAATAACACCAAGGCTGTTCTTTTTAGGAGGTTAGACTGTTAATTAGTAACTTGTTACGGTAAAGTGAAAGTATTCAGGACAGACTAGCGCCTGCTCTTTTTTTAGATAAATTTTATCAAAACTCTTTAACTTTTGTACACAGAGAGGAAATGTGCAGCTAAGTAAAAGCATTTAAACCATTTTCGCAGCTGCTTATCTAAGGTTTGCACAATATCAGTGTAGCTGTACCTCTTGCAAATCTTCTGTACATATACAAAAAAAACAAACTCATTCACAAAGTTTTTGCAACTTCCTAATGCAAAGTGCCAAATACTTACTTCGTATAAGTGTAGTCTCTCATTTTCAGCTGTTCAAGAAGAATCTTAGTCAGTTTAGCAATAAAACCAAATGTTATCCAAGACAGACTACTTTATAGACTGCAATAAACGTTTATTATGACTTAGCTTTTTGTTAAAGAGAAGCAGTTTGTAGTGGGCGGGTAAATAATTGCATAACATGTGCTGTGGTGTGACTACTTTTAAATGGAGTGTAACTCTTTAATCCTGAAACCTGGGGAAAATGAATAATGTTTCAATGTTTGAGACACGTAATGTGTAAAAGACACAGACGATCTGCTGACTTGGTAACTGCAAAGCTCCTCTGGCATTAAAATCAGCACAAAAACCATCCACCTGGAGCATCCATGGCCGAGCAGCTCCTGAAGGTGTCCCAGTGCTTTTGTCCCTCAAGTGTGGGTATTCGGTGACAGTCTGCAAATGCAACACCGAAGAGAGAGAGAGACTACACAAATATTTGAAAACCTTGGTAACCAAAATCCCTTGAGTTTGCTTTTGCTGTAGCAGAACTAGAGGAAAAATTCAATTGTCCAAGCTTCACACTCATGCAGAGGTCTCATTTTGTTGATACTGTAAGTTTTTGGTTGGGCAAAAAGAAAAAGAGCCTTACGTTTTTTGGTTTGTTTTTTCGAGCTTTGTTTTTAATCGGGAAAGAAACATTGAATCCTTTCACGCTTAGTCTGCCATCACAGAAATCACTTCACACAAACCTGTGTATATTTGCATTTATTGAAAGTTTTCCTGAAACTCACTTCTTGAACACACCTTTGTGATGTGTGCAGCTTTAGAGTAATCCAATTCCAAAGTATTCATGAAAGAAACCAAAGTACTAGTCCTTGTCAAGAGATGTATTCTAAGACACTTCTTCAGCTGAGAATCAGAGAGGAGAAAGACACAGTTTTACTTGTATACAAGGGCAGCACAGAGTACTCGAACTGAGACTGAGGGCTCTGATACTCGCCCTGAGAGACTACCCTGGTCTTTATTTATAGATCAGTGGGCGTTTGTTCCTTACATTGGAATGCGGAAGTGTATATGTGTGTGTGTGTCAGAGTGTGACCCCATAAACAACTTCCCTTAACCTGCTGGTCTGAAAAATCCAACAGTTCATCTATATGTAAAAAAGGCACTTAGACTAAAACGGACATAGCTACGTTAATCCTACCGTAAAACAATAAGACAAGGTACGACCTTTACCATGCTCCTAGGATGTGAGGGTGAACGCCAGAACACCCTGGAATGTACACCAAGTTGTTACAGACCTCCTAGGATGAGACATTCTTTCAGTATGCCACCAACTATATACTTCTAAACGCAAATGATTACATGCAGTATTCTACCATATGCAAACTTATATCATTAAAAGATTATACTGAATACTAAGTACAATTTTCCATTGACAGTCATAAAGAATAAAACCCCACAAAGAGCACAATAAAGTTTTATTAACAACAATAATAATAACAATAATAATAATGCAACATTGTTTTGGAGCTGTATATTAGAGGTAAACTGTACTATATTTTGAAGTAATGCACTAATTGAATCATGGTGACCTTAACAGTGATATGCAACACTGTCCTTAACAATCTGAAAGCAGACAAAGAAAGAAGAGCTTGAAACAAAAGTTCACCGTTTTCCATCTGAACCGAAAATACTGATGAAAGGCACAAGTTACAAAGTGCAGCTTCTTTAGCTTTATGTGACCATTAAGGTTTATGGTACTTAAAAACTATGTGAGCAAAACACTGGCCCCGAAACAACATCAGCACAAGGACTGTCCATGCTGTCCAGCACAAACTCAAGAGTGAGCAGCTGGAAATTTAAATAGGCGGCTTCATGTCCTCTTCCCAACTACTCGGGTATGACTGAAGTAGCGACTGCACTATAAGGTCCATACCGGCCAAATACATCTTTACCCACCACAGCCGCACACACCCTGTGACCAGGCTTATACTTTCTGACCAGCACACACATGGGCAAATTCAAGGCCTTCACCTCACCGAGGATATTCCAGTCTGGGAAAGCGCCACTGCCCTTAACCTTTTCCATAGTTAGGAAGATCCTGCAACAGGGACAAAGAACAGAAAAAAACAATATCATCAGTGAGTAACTTAAAGTCAAGATTACTAGTAAAGCCTAAGAACTCACTGACTGCTTCCATCAGGTGGTTACAAAAACTGGCAGCAGCGTCACAGTGAGATCCTCAAGAAGACCTTTTGTTTTTCATATTGGTCGTAAGGCTGAGAAACTACACGCTCGACACACAGTGATGAGTTCAACACTGCTTCTTACGTGTAACTGTCCATGGGTGGAGCAGATGGGTCTTCCTCCACCACTTTCCAGAGGATAGAGAGGCCGCTGGGGTTTCTGATGAGGGCCAGATTTACTTCAAGTTTCTGAGGGATGCTATACGAGGCCGCTTCCATGTTCAGGACGGAGGGGAAGGGTCTAGAAGGAAGAGGAGGTAACGAGAGTCCGTTCTGAGGAAGGAAGGAAACTTAAGTGAGTGGGTGTGATGTACCTCAAAGAGTGGAGTGAACCAAATGTATTTTCAGCATGGGTGTATTACCTGCTCTGAGTCAGTGTGACTGGGACTCCTCGTGGCGACAGAAGAGACACATTCTGTTTTCACCTTTCGATGCCTCGGCTCTTCAAACTCTTCTTCACTGTTTTCTTTTTCTTGCTTAGCTGTGTACTCATGCTGATTTTACACATGCCAAAATGGAAGATGTCAGTAATGATAAAAAAAATGAAAAGACATTTAAAAGAACTATTTTTTGCTTACCCAAATAGCCTCCACACATTCATTTGTGGCAAAATAAATAAAATAAAAGAGAGCGCATAGTAAAGCATCCCACCTTAAGCTGAAAAGGCCGTTGAGGAGTCAGAACTGGAGGCAGCCGCTCCTCATTTGAATCAGTCGTGGCAGCTGTCATAATTTAATACAGATTATTTAAAATGTGAAGGAGGAGAAGGGAAGAAACAGGAGGAAGTAGGAAAAGGGGGATTTTTGTTATAAAAATTAAAAATGGTTGACTTTTCTTCATTACCTTCATGCGTCCTCTTTACTCCTCTTCTCGTGGTTTCCTGGGCAGAAAGAAAGCCACTAAATTAGAGGTGAAATTATTACGACAATAATAATAATAAATAATTATAGTTATAATAACGAGTAAGTAAAGCTTATTTATATAGCATGTTACAAAAATCAAAGTGCTTTAAAATATAAAGTATTAATATTGACCTCAAATTAAAGTTATGCAAAATTAAATTTATGTATTGTTATTATTATTATCGTTATTATCATCATCATCATCATCATCATCATCATCATCATCATCATTATTGTTATACACTACCAGTCAAAAGTTTGGACACCTTCTCATTGTACAGCTTTTATTTTTACTACTTTCTACATTGTAGATACAAACTAAAGACATTAAAATATATATATAGCAAGATATCTGGAATTATGTAGCAAAGAAAAATGGATAAATAATAAGTTTTATATTTTAGATTCCTTTGATTTGTTGTCAGCGCTGCAAACCCTTGGCCTTCTCTCAATGAGCTTCCTGATGTAGTCACCTAAAATGGTTTTCACTTGACAGGTGTGTCAGGGTTCATTTGTGGAATTTCTTGCCTTCTTAATGGGGTTGTGCAGAAGTCAGGTTGGTACACAGCTGACTATTTCACAACTGTTAAAATGTATATTAGGGCAAGAACCAATAGGCTAAGAAACGAGAAATGAGTTTGGGATCTGAAGCGGAGTTTGCACCCAGATTACTACGGTAGACGTACTGCTCCGACAATCCATCAAGTGGTGCAGCTTACCAAAGTTATACTAAAACATTTTTTGACCAATTTTTGAGCGCTGTGTACCACATAAAATCGGTTCGAGGTCAATAAGCATAACCAGGAATTCATAAATAGGCACACTGTCGATGTTTGAGAAAATTATAGGATTTTAAGTGTGCCTTATAGTGCTGAAAATACCGTATATATTAAACACCTCTCAAAGGTCAGAAAGATAAAACCCCAACTATCTGACTGAAGAGCTCTCTTTAGAAAAAAAAAAAAGACCTCCAACAGATTCAGGATAAGGGAGGAGGCGGGTATCTGCTATCACCAGTTGGGAGGGAAAGAGATATATGCTGACAAAGATTCCAACATGCAGTCTACTTGAATTACATGCTCTGTGTCTCTATCAATGTCTCTCGTCTTGTCATGAAAGATACCGTCTACTTTCACTCTTTGACCCTTTGGATTCTCAAACTGCATCAACTCCTCAACTCAGAGACCAAAAACAAAGATGGACAAATGAACTCAAGACAGAAAACAGACAAAGATTCAGCTGGTAGGTGATTTATTATCTTATGGAACCAGCATTACTTTTGTGTGCTTCTGTAGTTCTCATAACTGGCATATACAATCACTGGCTACTTCATTGGACAACTGAGTAATCAGCCAAACCCATAGCAGCAACTTATTCCATTTAGACATGGTCAAGACAAACTGCTGATGTTCAAACTTGGCAAAAGGGATGCCAATAACCACTTTTTCCAACAAAAGGTATGCAGAAGAGCATCTCTAAATGCACAACAAGGTAAACCTTATAGCAGATGGGTTATAACATCAAAAGACCACAGGGGCTGCCACTCATATCAGCTAAGAACAGGAAAGTGAGCTTAAACCAATACTGGAAAATACAATAATGGGAAAAATGTTGTTTGCTCTGTATCGTGGCTTCTGCTCCAACATTCAGACAGCAGGTTCAAAATGTGACGTAAACAACGTGAAAACATGAACCCATGGATCCTACCTTCTATCAATAGTTTGGGCTGGTGGTGACGCACTAGTGTGGGACACACTGGGCCACTTAGCACCCAGTGAGCATTGTTTAAATGACACAGCCTCTCTTACTATTCTTTCTTTGTTCATCCCTTTATAACCCCAGTATGACAATCTTCTGATGGCGGCCAAGATTCACCAAGATAACTCACCATGTCACCAACCTCAAACTAGTTTCTTAAACATCAAATCTCAATCCAGTAGAGCACCTTTGGGATGTGGTGGAACTGGACATAGAAGTGCAACTGACTAATCTGCAGCAACTGTGTGACTCATCATGTCAATATGGACCAAAATCTCGGAGCAATCTTTCCAGCACCTTGTCATGAAGAATGAAGCCAAAGCGAGACCAATCCAGTACTAACAAGGTTTACCTAGTAAAGGGGTCATATGAGTGTACGTGCAGTTATGCAATATTGCTTATTTTTAAAGGCTCCTACCTCATACTCCAATGGGCTGTTAGGAGTTGGAGGACGCTGCTCCTTATTTAAATCTGCCATGGCAGCCATCAAAGCTTATGTGGATTATGTAAAATAACAAGTGACAGAAGGGATGGGAAATAGCAGGAAAAGGGATATAGTTTATTCATATGCTGATTCATATTATTACATTTCAAGGTATTATAACAGCTTATTGTATCTGCAGAGAAAGAACGTTAGCACAAGCAAAATAAGATACGCATTTTAGATTTGAGGTACACAAACATTTACATGTATGAAACCAAAATACTCTTGTTTTACAAAGTAAAGACATTTTATAAATGAGACATGACAATCTAAGAACTTTTTAGTAAAAATCATCTTAAAGGATCTGCATCATCGCCATGATAACAAAGACACTAGCTGCCCAACTTGTGCCCAACTTATTAATCTATTTAAATATTTCCCTGAGACAGACTTAACTGGTTATTCTATCATTGGTGAAATAGAAGTATATCCCTTTCTTCTTTTGGGGTTCAAAATAAAAGCTTATAACTGGTAGCATTACCAGAATACATACAGAAATGAGTAAATCTCAATTTTCACATGTGCACATATACTACACAGGTCATGCCCATCCATACAAATGCAAAACTATATACCTTAACACATAAAAACTCCTGCATGTGAATAAACTTACCTTTACTGTCAGCACGCATCTTCTTAAGTGTCTGTCTTGTGATTTCCTGGATAGAAAGAACCAATAAGCTTTGAATATGAACCCCAATGCAGATGTTTTACTGTGAAATTTTACCCTGAGACCTTTCAAGAAGCTGCTGACCCCAACAAAATTTTAAATCAATAAGTGATTTTAAACTATTTTTAAAAAACTGACTAAATAAACAATGGCATATTTACCATCATCTGAAAGAGCCCCCCGTTCTTGGTTGCATCTATTGAGAAATAAAATGGCATTGAATAAATATTAATTTCAGCAAGAAATACTCAGTGATATTAATGTGCTTGGTAGGTTCTTACTCTGTGAAACAGCTTCCATGTCTCTTTCTTCTGAATTTGTTCTGCGGATTAAATGAAATTGTAACAAAACTGATAAAATAAATGTCAAAGAAGCTTGGAAAGAAAAGCGTCTGGACTTCTTTAAGTTGCTTGAAGACGTTTCACCTCTCATCCGAGAAGCTTCTTCAGTTCTAAGGTCAAATGGTGGAGAGTCCCAGATATAAACCTAGTGGGAGTAACCCCCCACAGAGGGACAAAAGGACCCCCTGATGATCCTCTAATCGCCTGAGCCAAGGTGTGAAACTGGGCATGGGTCCCAATCAGCCAGAGTTTCGGGTGTGTTCACATTTTGGACAGAGAGGACAGATGGTTTGAAAGAGGAGTGAAAGAAGCCATCTATGTCCACTGTGAGCGACCATCTTTGAACAGAGGCGGGGGTTTACGACACCAACTCTCTGCCATCTATAATCCAGTTTTGAGATCCCTTCCCAGACGCCTTAACGCCCACTCACATCCTGGGCAATCTGACCTCAGGAATTCGCATGATAAGGTGGGGCCAGGTTTCACAATGAACTCACCCGAAACCCTGGCTGATTGGGACCCACACCCAGTTTCACACCTTGGCTCAGGCGATTAGAGGATCATCAGGGGGTCCTTTTGTCCCTCTGTGGGGGGTTACTCCCACTAGGTTTATATCTGGGACTCTCCACCATTTGACCTTAGAACTGAAGAAGCTTCTCGGATGAGAGGTGAAACGTCTTCAAGCAACTTAAAGAAGTCCAGACGCTTTTCTTTCCAAGCTCCTTTGACTACGATGACCTGGATGACTGAGAACCTTCACAGACTGATAAAATAAATCACAACCATAAAGTCACATCAGGGTCTTCATTTTGATGGTATACTTAAACCCCTACACTGGACACTGATGTGTCACTCCAAGCCCTGCCTGGTCCTTTAATGTTACTATAGATGTATGATGTGTTTCTTTGTAATTATTGTTATTTAGCTGTTTCATGCATGAATTATGATAACCTCAGTCAGGATTTTTATTCATCTTTTCATGCCTAAGGATGAATGGGGGTCCTGATTGAGGTTGGCATAGTTCATGCATGACAGGGTTAATAAGTTCACATGACCACCTCATTCATTAAGTCCTGAAAAAAAGAGGAAAAAGAAAAGAAAAGAAAGAAAAGAGAAGAAAAAAGGAGAAAGTAAAAGAAAAAAAAGAGAAGGGTCTTCATTTTTAAAGATTAATATATTAGAGCTGGTTCTACATACCTGACCAGAGTGGGCGCTGCATTCTGAAAGTTAAAATGGTAAAATTGATCATGTTGCGTTAGGATTTTTAAATTACTGCATGTACACAATGAATAGTGTTTCAATATTAAATTCCATAAAATTAAAAAATGTGATTAATTCTACTGTGCATTTTGTCTTTGTTACCTTTTTTTGCATCTTTGTCACATAGTCAATAGCAGCTTCTGCTCTTTTAGACAATATTTTAACTCGTGCCTGTGGGGGGAAAAAAAGTGTGTTAGGGTTTGTTTGGATTTTTTTTGTTTGTTTTTTCTTTTTTTATTTAAACACTACTTCGTCTTAGGCCCCAGTCACACAGGCCTAGAGACTGGCTGGAAACCACGGATTGCTATGAAATTAGAAAGAAAAAAAAAAAAGTGGAATCCCCAGTCTCAGTCATGCAGACCAGTTAGTAAAACTGGCATCACATTGTGGGAGGTTACTTGCTGTTGCTAGGTGAAACTAATTGCAAAGAGGTATATGGTTCGGCACCAAAAACCTCCGTGATTGCTTCGATGGCTTAGTTTGGATGCAAGACACTGACTTATTTACAGCGCCAACTACTCGCTAAGCAGTACCGAAACTGTAAGGAGTACTACAGCAACAGGAAATTAAGACAGCTTATCTTCAAAAGTTAGACTTTTTGAAAAGCATTGGTTTCAGAGACATTCAAAAATACAACTTTTACTTTAATGGCAGTGTTCACGCTTCAAGTTTCACTCCTGCTCATTTTTTAGTTAGCAAGTGTTAGGAGACAGGCCGTCGTCTCACATTCAAACTACAGGCAACCATGGCAATCTGGTAGAGACCAGAGGAGGTTCTGTGGCACAGCACACTCTTTACAACCATTTTTACCAATTAACAGCAAGCAACCTGCCACAAACACTTGCTCAGTGATTGGGGAATAAACAATATTTTCCCCAAGTAACTGGAGTTGCAGACTCTCTAGACCTGCAAAAAAAGAAAAGGTGCGCACACAAATTTAGCTCGATTCCCTCTAATCAAGAAATAAACTAAGAAACAATATAAGAAAGCAGAGCCTAAGTATAGATGCCCAAAAGTTTTACCGCTTGCTCTAAAATTTAGGAACAAATGCACACAAAAAAAAAAAAGAACATGACAGACCTAGAGACTGATTTTAAGATAGCTTGGTGACATTAAAACAGGGAAGCATGGAGAGAGACAAGAAGAAAGACTGGAAAAAAGAAAACCACAATGGGCGGCGATGAATATGTCCACACGTGAGATGGCATTAATTAAAAACTGGACAGATATGTAAACATATGCAGTACTGACCTCAAGTTTTTCAATGGACCTTTCAAAGTTCACTCCATGTTCAAGCTTTTGAATACTTTCTATTAAACCCTGGAGTTTAGTTTCAGTTGCACTGGGAACCTCCTGCTCCATCAGCTTTTGCACCTGTACGCAAAAATCACATGTATACTGCTGTGTTCATTTTTCAAGTGAAAAAAATATATATTTTGTAGCTGTCTTGCACACACAGCATATTTATGATCAACAGATTTTCAAGGCTCCTTCAGGAAGGGGCTGTGAAGGTAGTCTAAGAGCTATCGCCTGAATGTCTTGGGGTAATTTACAAAAAGTCTTGTTTACATCATTGTTCAGGAGTAGAACATTTTCCCCTTAAGCGTTCCCATAATAGGGTGCCCAAATTTTTAGACATACCATAATTAACAGGAATCCACACCGGATCAATTAAAAATGATTGTTTGTTAATGAACAAAAAATAAAGTGTTTTGACTGTTTGTTTTTTAATGTTTTTTGGGTTTTTTTTAAATTGTGTGTACACAACTGTATACAGATGTTTATCTAACAGAAACAAAGGGCAGAACTGCATGCAGTAGACTCAGATGTTAGTGCTATCCAGCAGATAAAATGGCATGTACAACCATGCACAAAAAAGCAACAGTCTGTTAGAGTGATTTTGTTAAAAGTTGTCATTGTTGTGCTTTAAATTTGTAAACCTGGGGTCCGTTCTTCGTACCTCGCTTACTACATCCAAGATCAAAT